CTGGTGTTCGCAGCGGCTGGGCTGCTAATGTACCGGCACTAGTGCTGCATGGAGGAGCAGAGCTTGCCGTGTGGGTGGGCATGAGGGCACTGTCTGCACTGCTAAAGCAAGAATAAATACAGAACCCAACGAAGTGCCTCCTAGCCTCATCGTGACGGCAGGCTTTCTATGTTCCTGCTTTCAGAAGTACAGGTGTCACTGGAAGAGAAAGCATTTTAAAATGCGCACACACCCCACATTAGAACCGGTAGCTATGATGTATCGTTATAAATATGGGACTTTATAACACTACATACCCTTCCCTGCAACTTTTTTATTGACTGCACCCGAGAAATCTCTGCATTAGTTTGGTCTTTGTTTTGTTGCTTTGATGAGCGAATCTTGCATAACTGAACCATACGTCATATGACCTCTGCCAGCTGAGAACTTCTGTCCTCTTGCTCATCTCCAGGCTCAGCTAGGACTGCAGCAAACCTTTGCTTTAGAGCACCGTACAAGCGATCATGCCGAGTCAGGCAGGTCTTTTCTATGGCTTGTGATAGGGAGAGGGTAAAACACAGGCCATACGCTGGAGACTCGAGTCTTGAGGCAGGAGGATCATGCCAGTTCAAGACCAGCCTGGAAAAAAAAAAATTAGCCCTCACCCAAATGATTCTCTTCATACTGTGACAACAGGCACCTTGAGGAAGGCAGGCTGGAGGATGAGGTGACAGCACAGGCAGCGGCCAGCCTTCACACCGAGGACATCCCCATGCCTTACTCCGTGATGTAAGGTGGGGCCTGGCTGTGTTGTTGGATTGCCCAAGATGGGGCTGCACTAGCAAACTCCTGCCTCGGCCTCCCAGAATGCTGGGATTTCAGGTGTGCACCATGCCTGACACTGATATTTTTTTCAGTAAACTTATGTCCTTTCTCTATAAAATAGATTTAAGTGCATCTAAGTGCAAAGAAATAACTTGGAGGATTTTGACAAATATTTCTACATATGTTACAGACTCATAACTTCTTAAAAGGAATTTATAAAATTGTTTGCTTCCATTCATTTTTTAAAAAGGTAATTTGTCACACAGGTAAATGTCCAGTTCTCCTATTAAATGCTGCTGAACACAGTGGAAATACATTTCTTCCCAATAGATCGATTTTATCCAGTCAGTGACCCAACTTTCTTGTGTAAAAGCTGTACAATGCAAACTTGAGAGAGTAGTTTTCATACTGTGGCTGGAGAGGAACCTTTAAGCTTACATGGATGGAACAGATGCTAGCAGGCAAATGGCTCAGAAGGCAGAAGACATTTTTTGAAAGTAACGTTTTATCCTAAATTTGATGGCCAGTAAGAATTTAAACATATTTACCAGTTGTCACATGGCCATATGAGATAGGGCCTTACCATTTAGGATGGTCACCATAATTAATTCTATGACTGATGATTTTATAATGGGTCCTTGTGGTTGTGGATGGTCATTACCAAGGCAGAAGGCAGGAAGATACGGCTCGTACAAAGGCAGAGCAGCCTCTTAATAAGAACTCTGACAAGGCCCTCCACTGGCATGACGAGATTATGTATAATTGGTGTCACGATCAATTACCATGCAGTTCTTCAGGAGCATCCAAGAGGGCGGCCCTGGAGCTGGCCCTGGGATGTGGAGGGGCTGCCCTGCTGATGCTGTCACTGAGGCAGGAGGGCACATTTCTGGCCAGCATCCTCATGACCTCTTTTGAAGTCTGTTAAATTAATGACTCTGTCACACTGTGTTGATCTCTTAGACTTGAATAACAAGTAAGTGGGAGCTGTATGATAATAGGTAGGTCTTTTAAACACTTCAAATCCTTGATCTTTAGTAAGTTATGCTACCGTGCAAGAAGGGAAAGCTTAAGTGTCCATCTTAGGGTTCGTAGGTATTTTGGGACTAGCTTTTTAGTGACGGTGTCCAGGCGTCTGTTTTAAGGGGCTGCGGTTCCCTCTACCTGTAGGTGCCCACGGGCCACGTCTGGCTAGAAGGTGACAATCTGCAGAACTCCACAGACTCCAGGTTCTACGGCCCCATCCCATATGGACTCATAAGAGGACGCATCTTCTTTAAGGTACAGTTTTCTGCTTGGCATGTCGGCTTTATTCTCAGAGCTGGAGAAATAACTATGACATCTTCAGGCTGGTGGGACTTTGGGTTGCAGTACTTACACTTCATGAACACACTGGCCTTTACCAAACATTACTCCCTGCCTCCTGCTCTTACAGGGGGTAACTGAGAAGGGATTCCTTAACTGTAGCCAAGAAAACTTACATTTGTGTGCCCCCACGTCTCCATTCTCTCTCGCACGGTCACCTGGAAATAACGTGCATGAGCGCCATGCAGCACAGGTGTGCAGCGCTAGGGAAGGTGGCTGCCTTGCGCCCCACCCTCCGGCAGAAAGGACGGTCCGGCCAGTCTCCGCAGCAGGGTAATTAAAGTCCTGTATGCTTCAGTGTTAAGCCTTAAGCACCTTAGGTCAAAGGTGTAGTTCGCTTCTTGAGGATAAGCATATTTATACGTTTGTGTCCACATACCGCACACACGAGTTCATGTATGTTTAAGTACATAAATAACTGCTGTAAAGTGTCACACTGCAGCAGAAACTTACTCATGATGAGCGAGGAGGAAGCATTATCGATCCCAGAGGAGGGAGGAGGAAAGGGGAATGTGGTGAGGAGACAGCCTCACCTTCTTTAACCATCTCCACCTCCTGTGGATTTTACAGATCTGGCCTCTCAGTGACTTTGGGTTTCTGCGTGACAGCCCCAATGGCCACCGGTTTTCTGACAACTGACAAATGTTTATTCCTCTGACCTGATGAGTCTCCTGGTCCAGTGAATTTATGACGACGGTGGAAACCATGTACTTTCCTTACCAATAAACGATTTGCTATATACTTTGTTTTTAATTCTTAAACATAACAAGCAACACACTGCAAATTAGTTCAAATTACCTGGACAAAAATGTAAATTTTACAGTGCTATACAAACATTCTGCAAGGACAACCTGGATGAGTACCTCACTCTTGGAGTTTTGCTTTGATAGGTACAATAAAGCTGAAGCGAAAGGGCTACTCTTTCTTCATTTGTCAGCCACATTTTCAAGGCGGTGTAGTAACTGCCGTGCTTATGTGTTCAGCCTGACAGCACCAAGCGTCCATCTGATGAAGACCTGCTAAGCTCCGTTTACAGCCTGGTCAACTGGAGTAGGAAAGTTCCAGAGACCACAGAAGATCTTCCAATGGATTCTGCTTTACACTTGTAGAATATGAAGTACAGTGCAATACCTCAGTTGTCAACTCAATTTGTTCCAAATTCATGTTCAAACACCAAAAAGTTCAAGAACTGAATATATTTTTCCCCATAAGAAAAATGGAAAACCAAATAATGGGTTCTGATTATACTTAAAAAAGATTACACTTAAAAATTCATTTTTCCAGGACTTTAATACAGTTAACAGCCCTCGGTTGTGGAAATACTCCCTAAAACAGCTAAACACCGTAAGTATGGTACATTAAATGTCCAAACAATACAGCAAGTGCAATTTTAAGAACATTTGTCCGGGCCCTTCCCCTTGACTTGAGGCTTCCCAGCATAGCAGAAAGCGGCGTGAAATTGGAGGAGGAGACTGCCGTTTCTGGAAGGAGTCTCCTTCCGTAGTGACTCCTGGCTGTACTTTCTGGGGTCTTCTCCCTCCGTCTTTTCTTTTCTCACTACACATTTGTCCAACCACCTGCTTCTGCCTCTTCAAACTGTTCCTAGAGTGAGAAGTGTCATCTGCAAGGCCCATGACAGGCTGTCCTGACTGAGGTGGCCACTTCCACATCACATTCATGTCTCCTGTTGATGAGCAGGGAGACCCTCCCTGCCCTACTCCTGCCCAGCTTTGTCCTCAGCTGCCGCTCCTGAAGAACCTGAAGTTCTTCAGTGGCAAGGTGAGCTTCGCTGCGGCGCACGGCACCTGCGAGATACAATGTGCTCCACACCGGGCTCCTCCTTGGAGCCTTCAAAGCTGTCACTGCTTCTGGCCACAGCTTGGCCATGCAGCACGCAGGGTCTTGTAGAGGGTTCCCCAGGCTCTGTCGAGAAGGAGAATGCCGTGAACATGTGAAGGGCTGACTGGGCAGGGCCTTTCACAGCATGTGGGAACAGTGTGCTCTGGTGGGTCTGTGAAATTAGCAGTGACTTGCTGGACCATGGCTGAATGAGAGGAGCTGTATTTGGGGCCAAGGACTTATCAGTGACAAAGGAGCATTTATCATCATCCAACACCCTCCAGGCCCGGAGGACGAGCAGGAACACTATCCATTAGGAGTGGTTTTCCAGGCAAGTTCTCCTGTCCAAGCACTTCATGGACCGACTTAGTGAGAAACAGTCTGCTTCCCAACGTCGTTATTTACCCTTCACATCACTTTTGTGGTTTTCTTATTTAAAAACCCATGGGTTAGAGCACAGTCCCCAGCAGTGGTCCACAGGGAGAGCCCGTCTCGGGCTGCTGGCCTGGCAGTGCCCTTTCCTCTTTAGTGTGAGGTCCCGTTGGACATTTCTTTCCCAGAACGTCTAGCTTTGTCACACTGGACACTTGCTCAGCCCTCAGCCTCCACATACTCAGCAAATCCAGCCTCACAGGTACTGGCTGTGTCTTTGACTGTGCGCCCCCCTTCCCTGGCCTCACTACCTTGTGCCTGTTTTCTTTGAATTTCTCAAACCAGCCACAGCTGGCTCTGAACATTTGAGGCTGCTCAGCACATGCTCCGCAGTGCTGTCTGTATGTCGATGGAGGTGTCTGGCTTTGTTGAATATCACCATTGACATCCAGTTTCTCATGTACCTGCCCTCACAGTAACTTTGCAACCTCTTCCATGGCCTGGGGTCTTGGTTTCATGGTTAACAATTTCACACCTTTTACTACATTAGCGGCTTTAATCACATTTTTTCCCATAAGTGTTTCTAATGGTGACTTAGCCAAGTTGTATTCAGCCACCAAATCAGACAAGCAGCGACCTATTTCAAATTTCACAATTTTTTTAACTCTGTTTCTCAGTTTTGCACTTAGCCTTACTGCTATCACTTTCTTTGGGGCCATGGTTACAATATTTTATGCAAATAATACCCCCAAAAAAACACGATGACTGAATGTGGTCTGGGCCAAAGTGGCGCTTGGAGTGAGGCATCGACCCTGTGTCCACCGAGAGATGCAACGTGTGATTCACTCTTGGCCCGTACAGGTTTTGTCTAGTTGGATTTTCGCTCAACTCTCTAGCAACGTTACGAACACTGAGCAGATTTTTTCGAACTTTGCTGTTCAAGTGGTAGACAGTTCAAGTAAGTCCAGGCATGGAGCTGTTCGACAAGCGAAGGAAACAGCACTGCATCAGATACAAGGGAATGACACCTCACGTGCCACAGTCCACGAGTCCGGTTCATCATCCCAGGGAACCCGTAATGTAGATAGTGTGGTCCCATTGCAAGGCTCCGGAATAGGCAGAGGGAAGCACCTGTTTCCGGTCGCTTCTTTAAGTTTCCGTTCCCTGCGTTTCACATGAGGATGGCAGTGCTCACAGCCAGGGCTCCCAGCTGCTGCTGCCCCATGCCACCCTCACCCAGCCTTGCTCATGGGAGAACCAGCTCTGTGCATCCCACAGGGGTTCTGATCCATAGAGAGGCCACCGGGCCTGCGCCTCCGGCAGCCAGAAGCAGCTCTGGCAGATCAGAACCAAGTCACTGTAAAGGAATGGATGGGCTGTGAGCCAACACAGGAGAGACACGCTCAAGTCTGAAAAAGAAAATTCTTATTTTCCAAGGAGCAAACAAGTTCTCAGATATCACTCCACAAAATACAATTTATAATTGAAGTCTTTTCTTTGGCAATGTAAATATGAATTCTAAGTCCACATATATGAGGAAGTTCATTTTCTACTACTCCATGGTGGCTTCCAGTCAGCCTCTCCTGGCAGGGTGCGACTGCACAGCTCAGCTGTCACGAAGGAGCTCCACCATCAGTGAACACGTGTCACAGGGAACCAGGCTCACGGCTGCCGCCTCCTGCTCAGAAACAAGGTATCTGCCACCGCACCGGCAGCTCAGAGAGAAAGAACGGTCACCTGCGAAGACAACAAAATAATGCTTCAAATGCCTACAGGCAACTACTTCGTTCACACCCTCAAAAATGCAGTTTATTCCATAGAAACTGCAAGACAAAAAGCAGAGCTAGGTGAGGCTCGGTAAAGGAGAAGTACAGAAAACACTACTTGTGTAGGGGCGGTATTCAGACAGCTTCTGATCTATCTGATCTAGAGAAGAATCTACGCGCACAGGAAGGAGACGGACCAAGGAGCTGGGGTGGGGTGCTTGGAAGCAACCAACAGAATTCACTAAGTGTTCAGTCTTCTTGAGACTTATGTACATTTTACATTCTTCTTAAATGCTACAGTGAAGAAAGAGGTCTCGCTTGAAAGGAGCATGTCATTTGCCCTGAATTCTGTCCTTTCAGAGAACTGTGCCCAACTCTGATCAAGCTGGACACCTGCTGCTTTCTGTCTGTGGCACACATGTGTATGGCTGTTTGATTGGTGTTTACAAAGGACGGAGGAGCCAACAGCAAAGCGCCTGGCACAAGACATCCAAAAGATGCATATGGGGGGGGCACGGTGGTTCTAATGGCAGGACTTATGGCTGCTCTCTCCTTGCGAAGATTGAATGCTGGCGTCATTTGACTTAAAGAATTTCTCATCCTTCCATTTTACTATCTGGAAAGAAGCTGCCAAAACTTCTCATAGTACTTACTCATCATAGTATCTATGCCATTACTCTCAGAATTTGTTACTACAGATAAACGAAGTAAATCTCAAAGGGCTCAGGACTTCTACAATCAAATATCTTCATTTGACTCCTAAACCCGATTAACATTTAGATCTGAACACACATGTGAAGGGGGGAATCCAACTGCCCTGCACTTGCTTTCTATCAAGATCAGTCTTGAAACACCTAGCACTTAAGAAAGCCAAGTGTACCTGCTTCTTTTATCAAAGAAAACAATGAATCCAGTCAACCAACCCTGTTTTGTATTCTCCATAAAGAAAAATAACCCTGAATTCAGAAATGCAAACAAACCTCTTCCTATCCAGGCCAACACACATGCTGTAGCATATTTTCAAAGAGAATTGTTTCACTGTTAAATTTTCTAAAAATATACTTATTCTAACCATTGATTTTCTTAGGCTAAATCTCCCCCTCTTGTTTTCTTACCACTTCAATGAACACTGAGAAGAAATCAGAGGTGACATGTACTTAGTAAATGACACAGAGGACACATGGGTTACTGTGGATGTTGTCGCTGATAATTCCAAATGTTAATGCTAAGAAGTCACATCTTGTGCAAATTTCTCATTCACTGTTGCCATCCAGCATTAACACCGTGGTTTAAACACAAGGCACGGAGCTGCACAGGTAAGCCAGTGAGGAGGGCCTCCCATCTCGGACACTGCACCCTCCCCAGCGCTGGTCTTCACCTACCAGGGTATTTCTGAAAAAACAGTTCCATTTGTCCAGGTGGTCACACTTTTTAACTTCATATGCTCATCTTGCTCTTTCCCACTGCAAACAATTCAAGCTTACATGATTGGTTTCTAAACATTCCTCCAAGAATAATGGCTTCAAGAACCGCTGCTCTGTTTTTATCTCAGGATGAGGATGTTACCATACCATCACAAAGCCCTAAACTTAAATATGGGCCATGCTTTTAAGATGAGCCGTGGTGCTTGCCAATGACCCACTGCGCTGACCTGGATTCTTCCACTGCTCCCCGTGAGGAGGGGCTCAGGGTGCCCCAGGACAAAGCCCTGCTTCTGGCAACCTTGCTCTTTCCTGCTGGACATTTTCTTCATGTTCGTATTTACACTTGGATCAGAAGGTCTGTGTATTTACTGACAGATGTTTGAACCATCAACCAATATTTTTAATTTAAAATAAAATTTAAAAATTATATTTAATTAACTTCAAAAAATGGATTTTAAGCAATCCACTTCATTGCACAGATCTCTAATGAATGGCCTGTCCCTGTGTCCCTCCACAGCCAGCCGAGTGAGCCCACTGCTGCTGTCCAGGCCTCCAGGCAGGGCCCCTGCTGCTGAGGGTGCGGAGACTCAACCCCAGCAGCCCCGGTCATATGGACCCTTGAGTTCCCAATTACACAACTGCAAACAAGAGTTTCCACTCTGGGGTTCCCGCTGGGTGGATGAGGGCAGAACAATCTTATCAAGAAAAACACCCACTTTTATAAAGCACTAAGAATTTACCATTACTGAAGTAAAGGGTTTCAAGAATAGCTTTGTTTATCTTCTACCATCCGTACTCATTAGCAAATTTTTATAAGCCTTTAGGCTGAACAAAATTTGAGTGTATAAGACTTCTAGGAAATAGCACCATTTTCTTCCTTTGCCCAGAGAAGTAAGGAAGTGTGAGCTACCCATGGCTTCCGTATTTAGAGAGATGTTTTCCTAATTCAATGGCATCAACCCAGAATAACTAAGAATGTGATATTACATCTGATTCAATAAAGCTTTAAAAGGGAAAACGACATGACTTCATGATAAAGGGGAGGGACAGATTGTCCTTTTCCTCCTGAGACCTCATCAACAAGTGAGAGAGAGAAACCAAACCTCCAGGTAGAAGAGCAACGTGAAAAGCCTGGTCTGACAGGTTTTATCTGTGAATTCATCTCAACAGTCAGCAAGTACATGAATGGAAAAAAAATCCTTCTTTGACTTTACCACATTATAGAGTAATGCAAAATCAAAAGTAGTAAAAACGGGCTGGGGATTTAGCTCAGCGGTTCGGTGGCCTGCCTTGCAAGCGCAAGGACCCAAGTTCAATCCTCGGTACAAAAAAAAAAAAAAAAAAAAAAAAGTAGCAAAAACAAATGGAAAAAATCTTATAAGAATATAAAATCTTATTAGAATAGAAAAATAACTTGAAATGATCCAGAGGGGTCATCAATAAAAATAAATGAAGTTTAGAATTAAACAAAAACAAGCCAAACAAAAGGAAGGCCAAGCTATTACTATCTTTTCAAGGTTTCCCAACACTCTGTGGGGTTTTTCCCCTATTAAAAAAAATCTCTAGTATTTGTCTTCATGGTAGACAAAACCAAAAGAAAAAAAAAAAAAATCCAACCTTCATTCCAAGACATTTCTTTAAGATTCATCTGAGCGTCTACAGGTCCCATACTTCTGAGCTCATCTTCTGTAAAATAGAAAACAAGATGCTTAATTTTTTAAAAATAAGTTTTATTTTATCCCATCCCCACCCCCCATGTAGAAAAGCTTTATTTCCATTTTTTCCTGTAGAGGCTTCACTTTGATACATTAGCTGTGAAGGACACAAAAAGGCAACTCCGGTATGGTCATTACAATTCTTTTTTTTTCTTTCTTTCTTTTGAGACAGGGTCTTGCTATGTAGGTCAGGCTGGCCTTGAGCTCACAACAATCCTCCTGCCTCAGCCTCCTGAGTGCTGGGATTATAGTCATGCACCACCACAGCCAGCTTGTTCCTACTCTTATTAACTTTATCATTTAAAAACTCAGTTTACCATCCTAACAGTGTACTGGACTTCGGAGGACTACAAACTGCAGAACAGTCAAAATTTGGCCAATTTTTCACAAATATGCAACATACAAAAGCATGAAGTCAGTTTGACATTTTTTTGTCATCAGCTAGTAACCTCTGCTTGTGAGAGACTGGAGAGATCTGTCAGATAAATTATGTCTCACTAAGAAGGCAGCAGCGCTGGGTGACAATAGCCACCTGAACCTTGGGATGAGACAGGAGCCACCTCTTCCGTATTTACTTCAGAAGCTGAAAGCTGTGCCCTGAAATTCCTGTGCTGATGCACTGGCCTCGGGTTTTAGGAATAGGAAGTATGGCAAAGGATATCACAAGGTTAGGTCCAAATCCAACAGGGCTGGTGGCTTTCTGAGAGAGGGAGAAAAGTCTTTCTTCAGGACCAGCCTGTGGAGAGGCAGATGGGCCGGGGGATGTGATGTCCTCCTCACAGGAGATCTGGCCAAGTGCTTTGAGGAGCCGGCCCTCCCCAGTGGAAGGGGCTGCTGGGGACCTGGCTGTCACAGAGGAATAAGTCCCTTCCAAGGAATTTGGTGTTGCAAGCCCATAACCCAACTGGATTGTGTTGACGCTCTATGCTTTTTGTGAGCTAAAGTTTTCTCTGAAACGGAACTTCCAAAGGAGGACAGAATCCCAACTAACTTGAGTAAGATGTGGCCTAGCTAGGAAAAGCACGCACTCCTTGCTTAAAATGAGCGTATCCTGGAACAGACAAAGCAACTCTGGATGGGAAACAGTTGTCACTGCTTTTAAAGGCACAATCTGTTTCCTGTATGCTTATACTGTTCTTCTAAAAGGAAAGGCTTAAAAAAAAAAGCTATTAAAATCCAGCCCTACTCCGGTGAAATTTTCTTGAGCTGTCTCACTAGTCCTTGTTCACTTCCTGAGAATGCCTCCCCCTTTGTTCCCTTGTGTGAATGCCTGCAGTTTAATTATATTTAATAACGGCCTGTTCAAAATTTATTGGTGAGTTACATAATTTTAAAATAGTTGCAAAGGTTATACAATATTTTGAACTCACCACAGTATTCTATTAAGGCATTTTCAATATTAGACCACTTCCTATTGACTAGATACCACCAGGCCATTCAGCTGTCCCTGAAAGCCAAAGACACAGGCCCGACCAACCTTGTGCAGTGGCCTGTGTGTGGCCACTGGAGTCTGTGCTTCAGCGTTCTGGAACACAGCGATCTCAGCTCCACACTCTACAGCAGGTATACACTGTGATCCTTAACAAGGGTGGAGGGGTTGGCTAGAACGAGGAAATGAGACCCTGTGTAGATTGGAAGAAGGGGTAACTGATGCTTAAAGAAGCGCACTTAGGAAAAAACAGGCCTTGCTAGTTTACAACCAAGTGCCTCTCTTCCAGGGTGTGCGCTGTACAGGTATCTTTGGCAGCAGCACAGGCAGTTGAAGCAAAGCAGACTGGTAGTGATGACGACAGAGGAGGCAGCTCTGCAGCTAACAGATCCTGAACCCTGCAACACGGAACCAACCACCCACAGAGAGGGGCGGCCTGTCCGTAGGCTGCCTGGATACCTTTCCATTCCCAAACCTAAGTGAGAGATTGCTTACAAACACAACGCCCACCGCCCACCCTCCTACTTCTCTGCTTGTCTACTGGGAAGCGCCGGGTTCTCTTTACAGTTCATGTTTCATCCCAGTTTCCACCCGCTCTCAAAGTGGCTTCGCATTTTACTGTCATCTTTATTTCTCTATCTGGATGTGCAACAACTTTAGAGCAGCTACTTATTTCTTGGTAGAAAGATTAGCATGCAGCACACAGACCATATTTCAGACCGGAACACAAAATGGTCAGCACCTCCTTGCCAGAGGTCAGTTTCGAGGAATACATTAAATCATTCCATTCTGCAGCTGTCTGTGAGTCGACACCTGACTATTCAACACCTCGGGCACAAAATCCAAGTTTCTAGTTCTACAAATCAGTATCTGACATTTGTAAGCCACCCCCATTGGCCAACTGCGCGCCCTGCAAACCCAAGCAGGCGCAGTCCCTGGGGTGTGGGGCTCCTGGCCCTGAGCAGGTCTCAGGTGGACACAGGCGCCCCTCCCCTTCCCACACATGAGCTTCACTTCCACAGAGCTTTCAAGTTAAGGTTAAGACTGATTGCGTTTTTAAATGGAGTAAGAAAGGTCCTGTAGGAAAACGTTTACTCTTCGAAAGGATGGGAATCTAGACTCCCAACCTGGCAGGAGTGGCAAACCCAGGGAGACTGCGCCCGGACTGAGGCAGTCTGAGCAGGGCTGCAGTGAAGAGGTGGCTGCCTGTGGGGCGAAGGGGGTGCGGGACCCTCTGTGCACAGGCAGGGGTCCCAGGGCCAAAGAGCAGATCCACCCCAGCCCACCCCACAAGAAAAGAGTGCAAACAAATCAATGTTTGGGTTTTTTTTTCTTTTTAAACAATGATCTCTGCTTGTCTACCATTGTGATTATAATTAAAAACCTAATTCCTCCTTAGCCACTGAAGTAACTCACAGGAAAGCATAATTAGCTTTGATAATTGTCTACTAATCAGGCCTGGCATCTTCAGAACAGCTAAGTGATTTTCCTTTTGCAGGATTACATGATAATTTTGCTCCCTGTATCAGAACATTTTAAAAGGTGTCCAGAACTACAAATCTTACCTCAGTGCTCTCCTGGTAACAAGACACTACTAAAAATGTTGAAAAACAAACTGATTTAGGTAGTACTCAATTAAAGGACCAGATCTGAGACTTTAAATCTGGACTCTCTGCTACAGAATGGCAGTCACTATTTCTAAGAAAGAAAAGTGCACAGCCACTGGGAAAGCAAAGGCCCCGCCTGGCCTCGGGGCAGCTAGTGCGGTGCCCCAACCCTACAGCGACTCCCTGGAGGCAGACAGTGCGACCTTCTCAGATACCTAGGAGCAGTGAGTTGGTCTGCACTCTGTGCTGTGCTGTGCACACACACTCAGCCAGAGGAGGAGATGAGAAGAGCTACTAAATGCACTTTTCCAGAGAGAACGCAGTGCATTATAGTGAGAGTCTGAGAATATAATGATAAAATCAAATAATTTATGTGGCTACTTGAAAAGGAATCTTTCAACCCTTAGAAGCATCGGCCCTTGTGACCTGTGTTCCATTGGATTTGTCTGACAACAAGAGGGGAAAGAATTCCGGGGCTCCATTGTCTCCACAGTGGGATCCAAGAAAACACTGGCAGGACTCATCAGAGAGGTTTATGAGCCTGCAATTCAAAGAGATTAAAAGGGAAATCTCGGGAGATTCTTTCACACTGAAGAATAACATTAAATAACTATTAGCAGCTCGGCTCAGTAAAGCTTACTAGAGCTCTCGCTGGGTCATTCACCACTTTCTAAAAGAGGAAAGGGTTTTTCAGCTCCATTTGGGAATCAATAAATATTTCTCACTTCTTACAAGACAATGGAATTCCAGTCTTTTTCAACTTCCTCCTAATGATAGTAAAATTTCTAAAACAACTCTTTGTTTAATGTCTAAATAATTACACCTCTAATCCCAGGAAACGTTTTCTAACTGTAGCTACAATTTTTTAAAAATTCAAACACAAAACAAGTAACAACAAAAAGCTTTAGGAGAAAGGAGTTTAACTTCACTCACTGAAAGTCTCGCACACTGGCCAAGCCCGTCTGCAGCTCTGTCCACATTACTCCTGGGGCACTGTCATAAGTGACCACCACTGTCCCCAAAGGCTCTCATTCAGCAACTCTCAAAGTGGCTTTGCATTTTACTTTTTCACTTGCATGCTGTTTCAAATGCCTCGTTTATCATTTAAAGACGTGTGTGGGTGGTGGGGTGTGTAAGTTAGAAGCAAACTGTGTTCTCCTTTAGTCTGGCGCAGTATCCTGTCACTTAAAGACCAAGTCATTTCATTCTGAAACACCCACCATGCTGCCCAAGCTTCTTGCCTACAGAGTGATGTGCAGCTAACCAATGTCCTTTCTTCGATTGCTGTGAGATAGGACGAGGCCACACACCATCTGGAAACTGTTAACTAAACCCGGAGCCTTGAAAGCTTCCCCATATTCTTGGTCTCTGCGAGCCTGCTGTCCACCACAGGAGGGCCACACGCTTGGGGTTGAGCTCAGAAGCCTACCTCAGGGGCTTCAGAGACGGATGCCCTGCTAGCGGAGGCCTCCTGTCTGGGCACAGCAGGGACAGGACACACACACACGGGTCTCCTCGGCCGACGTGCACCGCTGAACTCTGACCCGCAACTTTCACCCAGTGGTGCACTGGCCCTTCCCAGTGAGTAGGGACGGAACCACGGGCAGGGCCTCTCGTGCCCTCTGGGAAGCAGATGTCAGTGTCGCCCTCACAGGGACCTGGGACAGTGCTGACAGGACAGCACGCACTACAGCATGCTGGGCCAGCGTGCACCCCAAGACAGTAATCAAGCAGCAGCCCACTCTGTGAGGGGAGGCCTCAGTTCTGCAGGACAGGGCAGTGGCAGCTCACAACCCTGTCTGGATTTGCCACCAGGTTACCTACTCTTATCCAATTTACTGTCTAGGTAACTTTCCAGCCACCCTTAAGTATCCAACAGAACCAGAAGACAGGAATCAGAGACTTTGCAACTGTGATCCAGTGGAGCAGATCAGCAGGGCGCTGGACAGGAAGAGACCTGAACAGCCCAGAAGACACAGTGTCCAGGGCAGTGGGCCACGGGGGAGTGCTTAGGTCTGCAAAGGGGACAACATAAAAGCTGCTTTCCCTGGGGGAAAGTGGCAGGGAGGGCGCTCAGGAAGTTATGGAGATTCTTCAACAGGGCACCCTGGACATGGGCACTGCAGGCACTGGGCACTCAAGAGGCGGAGGTGAGCAGGGCGTGGACCGACTGCTGCCTCCAAGTGAAGGAGACGTGGCCGGGGTCCCGCAGGAAATCCAGGTTTCAAGGCTGGGGGAGAAAAGTGACCCAGTCTTGCTTCTAGACCCACTGGTTTCAAAAGGGTCAAGTAACTAGCAGACAATGGCAAAGAGGTCACAGTTGGAAAACTGATGTCCTGAGACCCAAAAGGCAGGCTCTCTTCCCTCGGGAGACCCTGAACTGTTCATGATAGAAGAATCACACTAGAATCCTGCCCACAAATCTGTCTACGGTGTTTGAAACCAGCCAAATTTTTATTCAAAATTTATGAAAATGATCTTAAAATACACTGTCATTACAAAAAGTTACTTGCATTTAATCAAAGTAAAATAATGTAAGCAGCGTCACCTTCTGACAGATGAGATGAGCGGGGAGTGCACAGAAAGTTTCTCTGTGTACTTTCTTCTCCCTCTCAAGACAACGCCAGTTATCCCAACTGTCGACACAAATTTTCTGCATCATTTCACATATCTACTTTTCCCAGAAACAGTCACCAATGAAGCAGACCCCCTGATGCTTATCTTCGAGTTTTTACCTGAAGCAAATTTTTACAGCCAATTTTGAAATTCCTAAAAATCAAATAGAAATACTAATAGGACCATATAAGGAAACCCTAAACTAACTAATTGAAGTGTTTTGTAAGGGTCAGCTTTAGGACATACTTTACACAGCTGTCACCTGGCCTAAAGTCACCTCTCTGTTACCCATATTATCTACATTTAAAAGTATGTTATCTCCCTTTCTTACAGTGTTAATCAGCCTTTCAGACTCTTTTCTGCGAAGTTCTAACTATAAGCTTAAGCAATGATATGCTGGTTTAATTATCTGACACATGAATGATGGGGGGATTTCAGATGCCTTCTTCCCTTGGCCTGAGATTGATTTCCTGGTCTTCTGTTATCAGATGCTTATTCAAGTATAGGGTAGGTGTGGTGGGTTCCACAACATGGCACAGCAATGGCCTACGTGGCAGCGAAGGCTACACCCTCCCAGGGGTCTGGCCAAGGCCCTGACCAGGCTGTGTGGGTGCGCACAGAAAGCTGGAGTTGGACGTCAGCAGGATGACACACACTGGCAAGGGTTTCAGGCTCAACCCATTCTTGCTCATGCACAACTGCATGAAGCTGTGCTCCTTTTCAGGTCACAGGCCACCGAGACTTCCAGAGATCCACGTGACCACACCTGACAACCATGGGTCCAACCCGTTACAGCCGCGGTACACTTGTGACATGCTCTGGAGCACACTGAGAGTATGGGAAGTCTCCTCCCTCCCAAGGCTTGTGAAGGTGCAGATGCCAGTGTGCTCTGAGTCCTGGCAGCTGCACAGTGCTCCTCTGGCCGAGGTGCAGCCGGGGCCCTGAGGAAGCACATGCTTTCTGGGATACTGGCAGCAGCCTCAGCAACAAGAAGGCAAATACACCAACTGAAACTAACTGGTTCAATTCACTGTTAGAGCTGCCCTAAAAAGCATGCTCACCGGGAACCAAATATGATGCTTCCTCCTCTTAGACCTCTTTTCTCTAGCACAGCCAACCTTGCCCAAGAGAGAGAAAAACACACGTATTTCACCTAAGGTTATCTGGCCCAGCCTATTACTTCATTTGTTAGAAATAACCCTTTGACTGTTTCTTTTTTGAAGCGAAGAAACAAAGATGTCAAGCGCTCCTTGTAACTCTTCCAGATATTTCTGTGGCTGTGGGCAACACTGTGGGGCTTTCCTCAGAACAGGGCACCAACGCAAGCTGGGAAATACGAGAAGGTTCCAGAACAGCCAGGGAAGTGCCACCTACCTCCTGCGCAGTATTGCAGGCCTCCGTTCATAAGGATGGAAAGTTTGCGGCAGGCAGGAAACAAAACCACTTCAAGTACACACCCTACGAAGTGTTTCACAGCGAGCCGGCACCTGGCGCACACAGGCTTCCCTGTGACAAAGCTGCACCTGTGTCCCCAGTGGTGACCAGAACAGAGTGCTCTCGCTTGGCTCTGACAGTTCTCTCTGTGGGTTCTCTGGTAACCCACCCTGGTCCTCACCAGTCACCCCTCCCAGAGCCCTTCCTTCTTCTCTCAAATCCTCACTACTACAAGTTCAAGTTCACTTCCTTTTTGTGCGGGCGAGTCAAGGAAAGAAATCAATACTCAAAGGGACAATACGAAAGAAGGTTCACTGTGAGCTCTGTGAAAGCAGCTCGGGTGTGAAAGGCTTCAGACCAGCATGTGCTGTTTCACTGAGGTCCATCTCATCTCTACTTAGAGCCCAGACACCACACTCAGCACTGTGGGCCCCGGAGGAGCAGGGTGGAGGGCACACGCTCCAAACTCAGATGGAGGATACTGAACGCCATGGGAGCTCTGTTTCTACTGCCCTTCATTCTAGAATGACTTGGCTCAGTAACAACCCACTGAAAACAACATGCAAAGCGATCTGACCTGCAGTTATGGGAATCCGGGCTGTTTACCCACATTATGCAGCAGCTCTCACTGCCTGGGGCTCAGCCAGACTTCACTGAACTCATCAACAGCCTGTGATGCCCGCCTGCAGTCCCAGCTACTACTTGGGAGGCTGAGGCAGGAGGGTCCCGAGTTCCAGGCCAGACAACATAGTGAAACCCTGTCTCAAAATAAAACCTAAAATATATTGAGGATACACATCAGGTCTGGATCCAATCCACTGTAGGATGGGAGAAAAAAGCTTAAAGCTGAGTACTCAAAGCTCAAAGGAAATCCATAGCCATAAGCCCTTTTCTGCATGTTAACTACAGTATTTGGACTTGCAATATCTCCCAACCCTTCCCTCCTGGATTCTATGCTTGTTTGAAGGCTAGTTTCTTGAGTCTTTCCATTACCGGTCCGCCCTACTTGCCACTTCAGGAAGAAAGGACATTTGGTTATCTGTCATCGCTCCCTACCTCTCTTTCTGGACAGCAAACTCCCACGTAGAGTGGGATTCACTGACACTGTCTTCATGCACCCAGGCTGTGGAGTGGCAGAGTGCAGCGAGGCTGTGGGAACACACACCTTCCTCTTGGTACGAACAGCATGCTAGAGATGACCTGGCGCAAACTCATGACTGGTGATGTGTAAACGCCACGAGAGAGCCATTGCCTCTGAACATGGACACACACAACAGGTGTGAGAACGTTCCTGTCCGTATTTCTAGAGAAACTATTAATCAACCTGGGAACCCAGCTTACACTTATTTTTAGTGAACCCTCTTTAAAAGGGTGTATCTATAACAGAGTATTCACGAATGAAACCATCTCTACATTTTCTCCCAGAGGAACAAACACCAAGCAGAAGGCCCTATTCAAGCTGTACTCGAACATCAATGTGAACACCATAAAAGGTACACTCAACAGGTTCTTCAAATTTGTTTAAAAAGCTCAACAGCCTTTCTGCAAGTAAAAGACCCTTAAGCTCACTAGCAGTATGAATTAATCACTATTAACATCAATATGCTCCGGTACATATAAGAAGCTCTCTAAGTCTTTTCATACAAAGATATTACAACTAAAAGAAACAATGTATCGGCACAACGGCCAGTGAAAGTACCTTGGATGTTCTCCCAACAGGGTTAGCACTGCCCCACAATGCTTTGTGGTGCAGACCAAAGGTGCCTCACTTTGCATCAGGGGCCTTCCACTCAGTTCCTGGAGCTGGAGGCAGGTTGGACTGTGCACCAGCCTGTGCAGGGGATGGGAAGGGTTGCATCGTCAGGGACAAGGACAGCACTTTCGCCACACCTCCCCTCGATGCAGGGAGGATGGATGGGCACAGGAGTCCCTGGTGGCTTACTGCCTATTAGCATGCAGGTGCACAGCAAAGGTCCTGATAGAAGAAAGGCTGGGACTCCTGTCTCAAGGAGACGCCAATCACTTGGTGTAGCTGTGTCCATGCGTGACAAACCTGACCTACATTCCTCCCCCCACTTCCTCACAGCAGCTTTTCACTGGGGTACAAGCTCGCGCAAACTGCTCAGGAAGCATGTAACCTTAGCAGGGGCAGCACATTGAGCACTGTGCCACTGGTGCCTGCCTAGGCCAACACTGCCCTTTCTATAGGAGGCGGTCTCAGAAGGACGACAGTTACCATTTGTTTGTACAGAATTATATGCAGTGGAAAGTTGGAAACACAGCATGCATATTAATTCAGAATGCATAAACATTTTTAGCAGCTATTAAAAGAAGTTCACTTAGCTTCACTCCAGCGGTTCTGTTAGCTTCCCAATGGCAGCTGCTACCTAATGCCTAATATTTAAAAAACAAAACATCACGCTGGCCACAGTAAGCCTGGGTGAAGGCTGGCTAGCACCCCGTAGTGGCTGGGCCACGAGGACCTACCATGCCGCTGCAGGTCATATTCTTTCCTTGTAGCTTCATTCCCCAGAACTTTCCATGCCTGATCCACCTCAATGAACTTCTGCAGACGCTCCTCCAGTGTCCCTGCTGGTGTGGTGGTGCTCTGCTTGTCTGGGTGATACTGCCAATCAAAACCAGAGGGGCCAGTGAGAGACGGGACTCAGCAACTGGAAGCCAAGTGCTGCCTAAGAAAGATGCTGACAGAGAGGAAGCCATGCTGCCAAAGCCAGGAGACGGTGCTAGGCACCGGAGATGGCCACCAGGTTAATACAACCACTGGAGGAGTCACCAGCAAAGCCCAGGTGACACAGTCTGTCACAGAGGGCCTAGATGGCTCACGGACTCAATCATTGGTCTCCTGGCCAGTTTACCTTCAGAGAACAAAACTATCCTACCGTAACAATAAAGCACACTTCACATTCTTGCTCAGCCCCAAAGACTTTAAAGTTACAAATCCTTAAACATACTTTTATTGCAAACTGGTTGTTCTAGGCCAGATTTAACAGCTTGCCAAAACACCATAAAATGTGTACATAAATTAATCCATTAAAGAATTTTTATGTGATTTCTAACTCTAAGAATTTTTTCAGTAATTTCTGTATGCTATTCGGTGAGAACCAGAACACTTTGCATCAACTCACGAAATCTCAACTGCTGATGTAAATGCAGTTTGCTAGACACTGCCCTTCCATGACTCCTTCTTCCTGTCCTTTTCCCCAAAGTTCCCCCTCTGTCTGACCCACTGAGTATGTCACTGGGTCCAGCACACTCATCCTTTATTTTCCACTGTAAATTTACACTTTCACATAATAGTGTCCGGCTATGTGTCTCAGTACTTTTCCCCAAGAAATACAGGAAGCAATCTATGTATTAACTACTTGGTATGAGGAACAGCAAGGTGTGTACCCCTGTGCAAAAGTGGCAAAATGGGATTTTTATACAAGTTATGCGCCATCTAACTGGTTTTGCATATGTTTACCCAAGCATCAGAGGGTCCAACAGACCCATACTACTCCAGGATTTCTTTAAAAAAAAAAAAACAGTCATCTTTCGGTTTTTCTGGTAGAAGTAGCCCAATTCATTACAATGGCACATTAAAAGCCAGATTTGCATAAGCAAATCATCAGATTACTCATGCATGGATGATGAAGATGATCCATTATGGTACAATACATGTTTTCATAACAGAAGAGAAGTGTGGGTGGATGATGATGATGACGACGACAATGATGACTTTGACACTAGCCATGTGAGCCAAAGTTCCTGTGACAAGGAAATGGAGCAAGAATCAAGTGATACAGACATGGAATGAGGACCTCCCTGATTCAGATGACAAAGACAACAGCAATGTGAGTACATAGATGACTAGTCAAAATGTTGCAAAATGGCCACGCAACCAAATAGAATGATCCAATGTTAGAATTAGGTCTGAAAATATAGTGAGGATCTTGGCAGAGGTGAAATGTATTCAAGAGAATGCCAGCACTGCTATTCAGTGTTGAAAACTATAACAGATGAAATGCAACAAGATGCTGTGAAATACACAAAGGCTGAAATACAATAAAATGTTCTGTACGTACCAACAGCCATATTAAAAATGTATTCATTACGACACCTCACTAGCTGAACTGAAAGCATTCATAGGTCTGTTTTACTTAGGGATTTCTCATGGTAATAGCAGGAATGTAAAAGACTTATAGAAAAGCAATGATCAAAATTCAGCATAAAAATTTATGAACTTGTAGATGGGAAGACACTGTACTTTCAATTTAGACATTTATCCTGGAACTCTGCCATCAGGTTGTTATTCCCATAATAATAAACTGAATGATGTTGTGAACAGACTTGGTGCTCCTCTCTACCAAACTAATCAGAATGTGACATTCAAAAATCAGTTTACCAGTTTCTAATTGATGTTACATTTGCTAACAGAGCACAGGTTGACCAAAGCAGGAACTGTATGCAGCAACAAAGCAGAAATTCCAAATGAAATGTTGCAATTTCAAAACAGAATTGTACAGTACAATCTTTGGATTTCAGAAAGATTTACATTGGCCACATATATTGCAAAGAAAAGCAAACTGGCACTGCTAATGTCAACATTATACCATGATGGAAATATTGATAGGGAAAAAACCTTGACAAAACAGAAGGCTGAAATGGAAACTTTCTACAAGAAAACCAAAGGTAGAGTACATGTTGTTGATGGGAGTTATATGGCAACTATGATGTCACTAGAAACACAAAGCAGTGGCCAGTGGCTGTATTTTACTCAATCCTAAACATGTATGGCATAGTTTGATAGTTTACAAAGAAAATGACGAGTGCAAAATATGGAGAAATTTTCTTAAAGAGGACTGGAACTAGAACTCATAAAAGATCACTAAAAGTAAAGGAATATTTCTGCCCACAGAACTACACAAAAAATCGTGGAGTACACTGGTGAGCAACAGGTGAACAGGGCAGAGCATGACAAAGACCTACTACAATAACAGGAAAACCAAAAAGATGTCAACTGTGCCTTACAAGAAAGCACAGGAAAACAAAACATATGCACTATCTATCAGTTTAAGTGATACCTGTGTATGCAACATGCAGTTGTCATGTGTGAAGACTGCCTTGAGTGTGACTGCTGAAGCAAAGATTATTTCAGTGGTAAACTTTTGTGTTTACATTGTAGTTCACATAGGTTTGTATTTCTGATGACATCTTTTAGGTTTTGTAAGCAAGTATATAGCTGACGTTGAAAATGGTGATGTCTATTCTAAATATACAATACATACTAAGAATTTAATACTTTATTGATAAGTTTACGTTTCTGATAACTACACATTGTACAATATAATAAGAAACTCCTCACAAAACAGCCAGACCAGTGGGATGTCAAGTATGTCCTACAAAAAAGGCCAGGACGCAAAGCACATGTACTGTCAGTGTAAGCAATATATGTATATGGAACATGCTGTTGCCATGTGTGCAGATTGCCTTAGGGGTGATAACTGAAATGAATTTAATTTTTTTTTTTTTGGTAAAGTGCTATTGTTATTTTCATTGCAATTTATATAAGAATTTATTTGTGCTGTTTAGACTTTGTATGCCAAAAAAAGTTGATGTTGAAAATTTGGATGCTTTATAAACACTAAATATTAAAAATTCGATAATTTTTGTGGTTTTTTTCTGTTAAGTACTCATTTAAGATAATACAACTCAAAAATTAAAATTAATTTACCAATAGAAATATTATGAATAAATATGGGTCTAATAAAGACCCACTTTTATGCACCAAAATTAGTGTTATAGTCTGTGGGCTAACAGTTCTTTTGAAACAATCAGTAAGTCTCAATAGTTAACAAATGAGGAAAGGTTAAACATTCCATTTAAAACAATCCAAGCAATAGCCAAAGATAATTTTTTCACTCTAAAGCAAAGAGAAACTTGTTTATCCAGAAATTTCACTTAGAGATTACTCTGAAAGTTTTATCAAATATTTTACAAAATATTTAATGTAAAAAGTAAATAGGAAGCCAGGCGTGGTGGCACACACCTGTAATCCCAGCACTCGGGAGGCTGAGGCAGAAGGATCGCTGTGAGTTCGACACCAGCCTGGGCTACATAGTGAGTTCCAGATCAAACTCAACTACATAGTGAGACCCTGTCTCAAAAAAAAAAAGGAAACAGGAATTCCTTTTGAATGTGTTATAGTTTTTCTTTCTTGCTATTTTTTTTTCAAGTTTTTACAATGATTTTGCATTTTACAAATGCAAGTAGCCATATTCACATTACATTGATACATCGATATGGCTAGTTCACATACTCAGTAATTAATTGTACAATTTTATAAATTCTTTGACTGCTTCACATAAATCAGAAGGGCACGAACCTTTAGGAGTGCAACCCATCCCATTTTTTATTCCAGTTCTGAGGCTGAAGTCAGTAAGCTGTGGCAAGTACCATGAGGCTAAACAACATGAGTTCAGGAATCCACATCTTAGTGCACACTGGGCCACTGCTCTGGATGATGCTTTGCCTTCCAGGAGGACCTCTACCCTGCTGGTCCTGGGCCAGGCAGAAGAACCAGTCAACACTCGCTCTCTATGGCAAAGAACTCCGCCTCCACTTTCCTTCTGACAAACTTCCTTTCTCCAAACCCTAAATCCATCTGTTGTCAACACTGAGATACTTAACCCAACTAAATCAATAAGGGAAGCACAGGAAAGCAAACTGAGGCTTCACTTTTTTACCTTCTTTAGCCTGGGCTTTTCAAGCAGTTCTCAGAGAAGTTACTCTCAGCTTGACATATGCGATCCCAAAAGCAAGGACAGGCAGACAATGTTCCAGAGCCACACAGAGCTCCCTCACTCCCCCGTTCTCCAAACAGAGCTGACTGTTAAGTTGCTATGACTGCATGTTCTCACATAGAGTAAATGCAAACAGCCATCAGCCTCCATTTAAACACACAGTGATGAGTGGAGACTCTTCATCTCAGTGTGTCCTAAGCACTAAGTCAGACTCCTAATTACAGAGTAGGACTTTGGACTTAAAACTGGGAGGTGCTGCAGAAAGGCGAATTTTAAACTACAGACATTCTCCTTGGGAGGCCTGATCATACACCACCCTTACCAAGAATGCCCTGCAAAGTTTCAAACTAGTTCACACCAAAAGCTGTCCCTACACTTTATCATGAGTCACATTTTCAGTTCTATGAGGTCAAAATACAATTCCATCTCTTTCTCTCATTTGGTATTTTCCTGATTACTATGGAAAATAAGCAGCTTGCTATCTGAGGCTTTTAAGTCTATTGTACTTCACCACCAGAATTTAATGCCATTCCATGACACCCACTGATTAGATGCCATCCATTAAAGATGTCAGCTACAGGGGCTGGGATTTAGCTCAGTGGTGCTGCCACCTGCCTCGCAAGAAAAAGGTCTTGAGTTTGATTCTCAGTACCAAAAAAAAAAAGGTCAACTACAGGAGGAAAGTAGGTGTGTCATTTGGGGTACTAAAAGCCTCAGTACAATATATCCAGGCAGGAAGTTGCACAATAAAAGGTCTGGAAAAAATACTACAGTCTACTGTAGGCTGATACCAGGCCCCAAGATCCTAAGTCCCAATTCCTAG